TAATTATTTCAACTCAGTTTCAGGATTTGTCCCACACATGCATACTAATGAACTAACATACTAACAGTTACTTGTACAAGGCTTGTAAAAAGTGCCACTTAATGCAATCTAAGGTACCTGAAGGTAATAAGGCCCACCAGAAGGTGAGGCCCACATAAATTCAAATACTCCTAATATCCTCTATTGCCTAGGGGCAGTATCAGTGATGCATCGGATATTGCACAGTTCTGGGTTTGATTTTAAATGAGTTTACGTTGAAACTGATTTCGATGGCGCCTTGAGACGATATACTTGATTCGCTATGATAATTTTGACATCTGATTATACTGATCTTCTATATGCAAATTATCATGGCAGTGTCAAAATTATCATAGCTAATCAAGTACATCGTCACAAGACGTCATCGAAATCAATTTCAACCGTCGAAACTCATTTAGAATCAAGCCCCTGGTTAGACGATCGTGTGGTTAGTTCTGCGATAGTAAAAATTGTTTGTGCCGGTGATCTAAGGAAAATGTGAGTTCGCTAAGTAATTTTATTTATCCTAAATAACTTAATGAGTTGTTAGACTTTAAGAGACATACTCGTACATATCAGATTTTTTGTTATAACCTCAAATTCAAAATGCGATATTTTACAGATAACAAGGCCCGGGCCTTATTTTCTGCAGAAGCATATAATAAAGTTCGGGCCTTATTTTCTGCATACATTATTATATGTAAATATTGTCATTTCCAGATCGCAAAGGTACGTTTCAGAAAAACGTGGCGGACTCTCAGAAACCATCTCAAATCCTAAAGCTCTGAGCGTAAATTAGGTAGGAGCAGAATCCTTACCTACAAAAAAAGAATAAGCTGACGTAGAAAGCAAGATTATTAGACATGCCGAAAAAGGGTTATCACGCGCCCCAAAATGCTTGAGATGATCTGTGTTCAAATATGTAGAGCAGAAAAACATAAAACATTGTTTCAATAAAGAAACTCAACCGGCGGGTAGGGAACGAATGAGAATTTTTTTAAAAAATCGTCGCACGATTTTGAGACGCGTTGACAAATAATGAACCGTGCAAGAGCACAAAAGATGGATCGACATATTGGAAGATAACTTCACAAAATTAAATGAACTGTTAGTTCGGACAGATTTAAGACAAAAACCTGTAAATATCTACAATATGGACGAAAAGAGGTGACACCCTACCATAAACAAAAGGTGTTAGCAGAGAAAGGCAAAACGAGTACACCTGGTTGCTCAGGAATACGCTGAGAATGTTACAATTGTTGCTGCTGTGAATGCTCTTGGACAAAGTATTACCCCAGTTATTTAATTCCAGAGGCAACGAATGAAACCAACATATTCCGATGGCTTGCCAATGGTTCAAAAGTGATGATGACTTCCAAGGGCAGCATAACTATACATGTCTTCAACAAATTGGTGGATCACTTAGACTAAAAATGTTCTCTTCATTTAATTTCGTGGATCTTCTTGAGAGAAGGACAGCTCAATATACACAGCGAGAGCGAAAATAGTGAGAAAAGTGAATGTTTTTTCAATGAAAAGTGAGTAAAAGTTTAACAATGTATTAGCGTATTCGAATGTTGGAAAGAATACCGTTACACGCAATTAACACGGCATAAAGATGGAGAAACATGCGTAAAATGTTTCCCTATTAACAGTCTGCTGCTTTTCAGCCTAGCCTAAATAGTTAGTTAGGTAGTCATCAATATACCCTTCTTAGAGGAAGGGAAGCGTGGTGTAAGAAAGCTAAATAAACCTTAAGCAGTTTTTTTTAACAATCCGACATTTTTCTATACAGATTTGGAGCCAGAATGCAATCTTATGCCTTCTCTCCACAATCCGGCAATATACGAGGGATGTCTTTTAAGTTTTGCATAGAGAAACATAGTAGGCCGCGCGGATCGAACGTCAGTACTGAATCTTAACCTCACTCTTTAGTAAACTTAAATTCAAAGTTTCACAACAATACGTGCAGTGTTCTCACTACAGTGAATTTTTAAGTTTCACCAAGTCATTAGAAAAATGGAACTCAACCGAGAACATTTTCGCGCCATAATTTATTACAACTTTCAGAGACAATTATCGCAACAAGAATGCCTTGCTGAGTTACTGTCTGTTTTCGGCAACTAAGCGCCACATCAGTCGACAATTTCTCGTCAGTATGGAGAATTCAAACGTGGACGGGTGAGTCTTAGCGACGATCCCAGGGTGGGTGCACCAAAAACGGCAGTCACCCAGGAAAACGTCGATGCTGTGCGCAAACTCGTCATTGAAGATATACTTGTGACATATCGCGAGATTGAGGCGACCTTGAAGAACTAAAAGACCACAAATCAAAAAATTTTACATGAATTAGGAGTAAGAAAATTAGTTTCTCGTTGGATACCCCACCTCTTGGCTGAAGAGCAGAAAGCAGCCAGGGTTAATTGGTGTCAAAAAACGCTTGACCGTTTCAATTCCGGAAACTCAAAAAATGTGTACAGCATTGTTAGTAGTGATGAATCGTGGATTTACTGTTATGAACCAGAAAATAAACGACAGTCGGCTGTTTGGATGTTCCAAGGTGAAGAAAAGCCAACAAAAGTCATCCGTTCTCGAAGTGTTTCGAAAAAGATGGTCGCGACATTTGTGGCAAAAGCGAGTCGTATTGCAACAATTCCTCTTAATGAGAAAAGAACTGGTACTGCGGATTAGTATACCACCAGTTTTTGCCAAAAGTCATCACCGAGTTTCGAAAAATCAACCCCGAAAGAAGAATCATCCTCCACCTAGACAATGCAAGCTCGCACACAGCCCAAAAAACAAGGCAGTATTTAACGGAAGAAAACGTGGAATTATTGGACCATCCTCCATATAGTCTCGATCTAAGTCCTAACGAGTCCTTTACTTTCCAGAAAATTAAAAACAGACTGCGTGGTCAAAGGTTTCAGTCACCAGAAGAAGCAGTTGACGCATTCAGAAATGCCGTTTTGGATCTGCCAGCAAACGAGTGGAATAAGTGCTTCGAAAATTGGTTCGAGCGCATGCAGATGTGTATTAATCTTCGTGGAGAATACTTCGAAAAACAATAAAGTCATTTAAAACTACCAACCGTGTTGTTTTATTTCCATATGCAAAACTTAAAAGACATCCCTCGTACATGTGATTTGGATTCTAGACCGCTGACAATAGTTAAAAATGGTGAATGCTGTGGATGTGACACCATTCGACCGGCAAAGGTATTATGTAGGTAACCTGAAAAGTGACATGTCAGTTTTTTTGACATCATGTAGGGTTTTAATGACAGTATTATGTAGGTTTTCCTAGATGTCAACTAGGAACTAGCGGTCGTTCACTTCATGCTTACTTGTAGCAGGCGCGGAATGAACAATTTGCACACTACGAGCTATCTGGTCAATGAGTTGGCCTTTTTTCGATTTGTTTTTTGGCATTATTTTGGTTTTTTACGTAGTAACCCTGCGGTTAACAGTCACTGTCAAACAATGACACCGAGATTAGTTATTATAGTCGAAATCACGAAAGATGACGATTACGTCATCATTTTAGTCTGTAGTAAAGACAAACGACAGCGATTTATGAATATATTTAATGATGTTTTTGATATGTTAGACAGAGACAAACAGAATTTTATTGTCTAAACAAAGTGTATTGCTAATTTGCATGTATCCGACAAAGATAGACGATGTTTTCATGTTGCATGATCGATCATATTTGAAAGATGAACAGTTAGGTTATGTTAAAGCAGGTTATGTTGTTTTCGAATAATACTTTGGTCTTTGGTGTTCCTGTCTTAAGGTATTCTACTCATACCTAAATGTTTTTTTTTTTCGAAACAAAAACTCCTCACTAAAATTATTATTAAGGTATCACTCAAAACCATGAAATAAAAAGAAAATAAAAATAATCAGTGAAATAACCTAACATCGCAAAATCATAATATAAATTTGTTGTCATTATGTTCCTGACTCGTGATTTTATCATCGACGCACGTCCATTGATTACTCCAGTACAATTTATGGTATGACGTAATAGTCATCTTTCGTGATTTTACCTAGGTATATGTATTTATGTACGTATTTAGTTTCGATATGTAGTTTGACAGGTTGACATCAACTTTTAATATTAGATACTCTCGTCCCCAAAAGTGCAAATCTAGGTTGACGCACTTAAGGCACTATACGTCGGGACTCCAGAGGTAACGGAGCCCCAGAACGTATTTGGGTCATTATTTGAAAAACGGGATGTTTGTGTCCTCAGTGATTTTTTCCTTTGCTTTGGTAAAACTAAGAACAAAATATCAAAAATGTTCAGTACTCTACTAGTTCTTACTGAATCGTACCAAAAATACTAATTTTTCATTTATTTCCTAATTTTATTTGCCTCGCAAAATATCAGTTCTCACGTTCGTAATGTGTCCCCAAACAAAAGTTATGAGATATAGACTAATTATTCTTAAACTTAGTAATGTCCAATTGAGATATGCGCTCTAGCAATACTTAAAGCCACTCAAAATCTTGCAAAAAATGCATTTTCATTTTATATCCAAATTGCGTTTCGTAAAATTACTTGAAATATAAAATGTCCTCGGATTTTCATCTCGCCTCCGTAACTAGGGCCGTTATTTCAAACTACAGCCATAAAAGAGTGGGGATGAGTCTGATTTACTGCAAGAGCGATCCACTCCACGAGATCAGTTCATGTTTGTCGGCTGAAGGAAGTAGTTGTCCTGCGCGTATCAAAATAGCTACACGTGGTCAAATGCCGATTTTTGTATGAGGTAAGTTCAATTTTCTCACTATTGTAACGCAAAAACAAAAAAAAATATCTCTTGGTTTTGAATGCCTTTCTGAACAGATATCTTAATATTTGTATTATCGAAAGTAAGGTAATTATTGTTACGGAGGTGAGACTCATGTTACGGAGATAAGTTTTTCATTTGTTTCATCACCTTTAGAGAAGCATGGCCAAGCAGAAAAAAAGCACTAATGACAAGAGAGAGCAAGAAAAGAGGGAAAAAGGTGAAACAACGAGTAAGAAAGTATAGGGAAGCACTAAAAAGTAATCTAGAAAGATATGAAGAGGCTAAAAGGCTAGAGAGAGACAGATACCAAAGAAGGAAAGAACAGGGCAAAATAAAATCCATCAATGATCTGACCCCTCGGCAGCAGAGAAAATTACGAAAAGGCTCTAGAGCTAGAAGTAAAAAAAGTTACGACAAGAAACGTAAGGTACAGGAACCCGTGCAGGGAACAATGCGGCCGCACTCGATGCGTGAGAATTCTATGCAAACCCCTACGCACCAAAATATTTCGGAGACGCCAACATCAGCAATATTGACATCAGGTAAAAGAAGATCAAGAAGAAATAGAAGAAAGATGAGATTAGAGATTCAAAAACTAAAGAAAGAACTTACAACAGAAAAATCTAAGAAAGAAAAATAAGAGGCTTTATAGAAATCGTAACCCAGACAAAGATACCACATTAAATGACATTTCCAACCAAACAAGTATCCTTTTCACAACTTTCTCTAATCTAAAAAATTGGTTATATTTATTTTTGGGTTTTTTGAGAATATCAGTGGTTTTTTACTTTTGTGATCCTTGACTTAATAACCAGATATGAAAACCAGTATCTGTTATGAAGATGTTTATAGCTCGAGAGAAGAATCGTTCAGTTCAGAGGATAAGCTGCCTCTTTTAACATTATTTATTAAGATACCAGGGAAAAAAATCAGTATCATTATGTTGCAGTAATCTTATCGATAGAAAATGAAAACGACTAAACAGTCATATATTTCCGGAAATCGTCCAAGGGAAATTTTTTCATTTTTCCAAACGTCAATGACATTGGACTGATTTCAAATAATGATATTGTGTCTCTTTTAGAAAAGCCTCAGATTAAAAGGGGCCAACATTTGTTTAATATAAGTCCCGAGGTGGTGAACTTACGTTGACGTATGCAGCTTTTTTGTCTTTTTAGTTTTTGCGTTTCGCTAATAAAAATAAATATGGTGTGAGACTAAATACCGTTTTTTTTTAATTTTTACTATCTAAAAGTAACTACTCCTTGACCCAAACACTCTATTTAATTGAAATCTATATTTAAAACTAAATCGTCTGTCTTCTGAAAGTATTGTTTTAGGAAAAATCGTCTACTACATGTCTATTATTTTTCGATTAGCTCTTTTCAGTCTACTGACAACACACGCTTTGATGGACATTTCTCATCTCCGTAACACAACTGCTCACCTCCGTACATAGAGTTTCTGGAAGCGGTCCTTTTTCAGAAAAAATAGTAATAATAATTCATGACCACTACATTAATAACTTTCCTAGAACACATATCAGTTCAAAATAAAAAAATTGTAAAAATTGGTGTAAGTTTTTTTGGAGCACTTTTTGGTATACATATATCCCCTTCTAGAAATAATGACCCATTTCCACTATATAGGAAGTTGTGTTTTGAGAATCACGTCATAACTTCTGGTACAGTGCCACTTGAGCAGTAGGCTCAGTCCCTTGGAGAAACAGACCCAGAGATCTTAGAACCGTCATTGTTTAAACTCACACACCGCGAAATGGGTAGCACCGCGCCAATGCTGACATACACAGTGATACATTTATGATGAATGAGTCACCTATATGGTAGTCGTGATAAAATATCATGTATATTATTAAACATTTAGAACCGCCAAACACACCTTATTAGCTATTTATTATACATGTAATACAGAATTCAAACGTCAACGGTTATTTACCTATTTATCGCTTATGTTATTGTTTCTCCTTTAATTAAGACGTACCTACTTTTTTAATTATGTGTATAATAAAATGAGAATAACATGCCGTAATCGATAAAGCATTAAATAGTATGGAAAGTCACAATGTAACTGTAGTTAGTCTAGCTGAAACAAAAAATCGAATTATTCTGATGAGTAAAAGTCAAAGTCTCGTTTATTGACCAGATTTGGTGAATTTTATGATCTTGCATAATATCCGTTTAAGCCAAGTAGTATGTGGAGAGAATTTGTTGAATATCAACCCACATTATTTTACGTTTTACTTTGCAGGTACCTAGAGATTATTTTCCAGCAGTACTATTATTAAATTATAAACAAAGATTTCTGCAAAGAAATGTCAGTTACAGAAGGGATAAAGCAAAAGCAGATGGGAGGAAAAAATATGAAGAACTACTTAGTTGTACAGGCCAAGGAAGATCCCTGAGGTACACCAACTTTTCAATTCGGCTTTCTGGTATCTCTGACTATCTCATAATATTCGCCTCGTACATTTTGGCCTCACTACTGTGATCAGAGTAATAATGTATATGTGGTAATGCCGAGGACAGAACCTAAATGCGAAGGAGTAAAGTAGAGATAATTCAAACAAGTTTTGCTCTGATCATATTCCAAATTATCCCGGAACAAAAGACCAGTCAGTTCTTGATGTATGAAGGAATGCAGGATTCTAGAAGGGCAGGCCACCATGGAGGTTAGCTCAGAATAAAAGAATGGTAGATAAGTGTAGCAAATTCCTACCCACTTGTAACTGTGAAAGAATTCGCGGCTAGAAGTTAAGGAAGTGTCGCAGATATGGACCTTGCAGTCAGCGCAACTACTTTCTAAGGTAGGTATGCACTATTCCAAGCTAGGTCCATATGAGAGGATAAGGAGACTGCCTAACTCTATACAGGGTGATTCAGAAAAACATGGCAATATTTCTAGGGTAAAAAATACATCTAAAAAGTTCTGATAAACATACATTGATGAGACTGAATAAGGACAAAAAACTAACATTTTTTAAATAACACTATGATGAGTTAGGATTACTCTCCAAATAAACTACAATCATTTTTCAATGTCAAACTTCACTAACTTCAGCTTATTTTCGAAGTGGACTGGATAGTTTTGTATACGGATTTTACCAATCAAATATTCAAAGCAATTTTCCTCCAAAAAGAGTAGCCTGGCAAAAATTTCTCAAGCGAGGCGAATCATGTATAATTTCAAAAAAATACGATAGATGTTTCAAAATAGCTAGTAGCATAGAAAATAAGGTTCTTTTTTCATCTGAAGGAGTCAAAACTTCCCAATTTCTACGCCACCGGTGTAAACTCAGGCATGAGGGTTGCATGAAAGAGCAACTATGTTGAATGCCGCCTCCCTCATCAAATGAGTTTTTTTTCTTTGTTGTTATTTTAACTAAAAATAAAGACATGTTATTATTATTATATCAGATATAAATGTTTGTATGCTGGCAATGATCTTAGTACGGAGTATCTTAATCCAGTAGGATATAATATATTTTTTTCGATTTCGAAATTAAAATCTCAATTCTGTTTCTCACTAAAAATATTGCTACGATTTTCTGAATCACCCTGTATAATCAGCCATGTATCAAACATAAGAAGGCACATGTTTGAATATGTGAGTATGAACGAAGTGTCACAAAAAATGTCAGGAGCTGATACCAGGATATAACAGTATGATGGTACGTATGGGCATTTGCTTCCGTCTCCTAAGTAAAATAAAAACAATTTTACAGTGTAATTTCAGAAAAACTAAAATATATAACAACAATCAATACACCATTGGCCTTACATGCTAGGTCCACATCCACAACCCTACCTCATACATAAATAACTGTAATGTTCGTGCATTGAATGCTAATACGTCTATTAATACCCAACCTCAAATCACAAGTGTGAAAGACAGCTAACACCACATTGTATTAACTGAAACTGAATTTCTAATATGGGAATGTGATTGGAGTTTTTATATTTTTTCTACAGCCGAGCCAAAAGGTACCCATTACTTATAGCTCGTAGTCGGTCAAGCAAAGTTAACATTCCCAACTGAACGATGGCAAATTGAACTTTTGCCACTTTAGAATGATTAAGGTGCAGTTGTTCAATCGTAAGTTATCTGCAACTTGTCTGCTGACTAGAACTTTCAATAAGAGTTTTTCAATATCAGGTTTATCCTAAAGTGATAGTCAACTTTAAACAGAGGACCATGTATGTATGGCATAACTGTGAAGTTGTGGTCAAACCGCAATGTCTAATCTAAAATCAAATCCAAGCGAATAACCAAAATTTCTGTGTTATGTGCCGCGGTTATAATATGGTTCAAGATGACCCAGGGGTTGATGACGTCAGTTACACGAATCGCTTGAACGCGTTGGTTTTAACCGCGGTTTTGTTGCAAGTTGTTTATTTTAGAAAAGTGCGTATATAATCTCTGATTATTTTTATTATCAGTTAATAATCGGTGCTTTTTTGTCTACAACGGTGTATGGAAAGTTTAAATAAGAATACCTTTCATAATATTCATGGGAGAAATGTTTTTTTTTTAGAATTTTTTTTAATGATGGAACCATGGTTTTGTAGCTATGATAACTTTCAATTCTCTAAAGTTTTCCGCATGTCAAAGAAAACATTTATTGATTTAGCAGAAATGATGAAAAAACGGTGAAAAAAGATATTAGCAAAACCGTATACAGGTGGACATCATCCAGTGAGTTAAATGGCCATATTTTAATATTCTTGTCGTATATGTACACAGGATACTTTGTTAAACATAGGAAACTAGATGGAAAGTGTTCCCAACAACAGTAATGAGTATAACTAATAAGATGCTCCACTTTATGCTAATACTGAAGTCAGCCTGTATCAAGTTTCCCAAAAATGAAGCTGACGTACAATAACAATATCCAATACCAGGCAAAAGTCTAACTTGCCACATTTCAAATAATAACCAGAAATATAAAACTACTCCTGAGTAATACCACAATTTTGTGGTGATAACTATGACATATGACGTCAGGGATCTTATAACCAAACTGATAACCCCACTCGCTTGAAGGGATCGGTAAATACCAATCCAAAATGGTAAATACCATTTTCATTTGGTTATCCGCTTGAATTTGATTTAATGTGCTTGACAGTAACATAAGTTGTCATGGATGACGCGAGACACAAATATCGAGTATCACGAAACGCATAGAAAACGATAATTCAAGCATAAAGGCAGCGTTGCTGCATCAACGGTTTATTGATTGTTAACTACAACTTGAAAAACGAATTCACAGACAACTGGTAGTAAACATCAAACTCATAGTTACCTAACTTGGAAGTTAACCAGAGATTGAAAAAACGGGCCTTAGTAGCAACGTTACTGGCTGAGGTCGGACCTACGACGGAACGCGTTTTTGTTGCCGGATTTCATGGCATGATAATAAAAATATTTATGCATATACATATGTATTCTTATCAATTTTACTCAAGACATTAGGAGTTAGATTTATTTTACTCATAATCTCATCTATTAGCATCACGTTAAGCTCATAAAAATGAAGTGCCGCATCAACGGAAACCCCCAAAAACATCTACCAATAAACATAAAACCATCGTACACAAGGAATAATCACCATCATCGGTAGTT